TAATCTCTGCTTGAAGACGTTACTATGCGAACACCAGTTTAGGTGTTTTTCGAGCTTATCACGGACAGAGCTATACAACATGTCTACGGTTCGAGACTTTACTATAGGAATACTGTTGCTGTACGAACATGCCTATGTTGGTTTAATCACACACTTCCTAAGATACATGTATAAGGTGTTTACTTATGTCATTGCATTTTTGGTGTGGCTTTATTTGCTGAAAAAACGCCCTCTCTCAAAAGACTAGTATTTGCACCAGAATTCTGTCATACAACATCATTGTCAAATGGTCATCATTTGAAGGGTGCAAAATTTCGAAACGGAAAAGTCTACGAATCCTAGCCCGACCAATAAATGCACAGGATTTAGATTATGCACACAGTAAACATGAACTAAACTCAAACTACATATGTCGAAATGAATCGGACCTTAAAAAGGAAATCTAGCAACGTCGACTAATAAACAACGGAACATAGAACTTACACTGTAGTGCATAGCCACTGCATGTTGTATTATGTTTGACGTGGGGCACTACCTGTAACATTCCGTTCTCAACAGTTTAGAAACAAGCAATCGTGTTACTTGGTTAAACATCATCCCACCAAGAGGTCTCATAAGCAAAGGTGTGAATCTTCAAGAGGTACTTAATTGTAGGTTGGTACTTATGAAAATGTACAAACACAGGACTCAGCAAGTTGTACGTTTTCGATTGTACGCGTGGTATTATTAAGCAAAGTTTCTGAAAAAAATATGCGAAGTACTCTGAATGAAAAATCACAACAATAGTTGACACAGTGAATCTTGATTCAGCAATGATCCGAAACCGGGATGTACACAATGCTAGCCCGGCTAGTATTGATGAACTACAATAAAAGCTACAGTAACTGGATCTACGGTAATGGTTAAACCATGTGATAACAACATTGCTACGCGAAATACTAAAGCTACACTTGGTTTGTTTGAGTTCGACATAGAACAACAGACTGTGTAGCAGTTCAGACATAGCTCAGAAAAGCAACGGAGAATCGGATTTGCAGGGCAATGAAGAATATACTTCGAGCAAAACTACCTAAACCTACACTTATTTTTGACAGATGCGCATGAGTCATTGTGCAGTGCATGGTGCGAAGACTAAAGATTTTAACAGGTATGATGACACTATCTCACACTACGGCTTATTCCGAGGAACTCACTGATTAAGTCGTGTACCAGACTGCAAAACCCACAAACAACACCCACACTGTTGTGTAGAAACAAGTGGACGTTCAATGAACGTGTGTGTCTATAAACTATAACGGCAGTCAACTAAACATAGTCACCATCCACCTTGATACGAAATCTGTCTTAGTTGACTCATGTTTGCGAAACGTGCCGCATCCAGACAAGCCCGCTTAGCTTAAGCCAAGCAAGAGCATAACCACGAAAGCAACCCGTCAGGTTTCGCTTGACACAGATTGTTGAGACAGCATCCACGGTACCCCCAATAAGCAATGCATAAAGTTTCTTGGCTTCGTGTGTACATCCACAGTACCCCCCCAATACGCAATGCATAAAGTTTCTTGGCTTCGTGTGTCGATTCATTCACACATAAGCCCCTTTGAACAACACATAAGCACAAACACGAAAACCTAGGTACCTGAGAGGGGGGGGGGGTAGTATATATATATATATATGTAAATATATATATAATATTATATCATACACACAGACGCAGACAGAAAAAGCGCTTCTAGCGCACGCCAGAAAAAAAGAAGAAATGAGGAGGCCCAGGCGGCCTCCCAGCTGCGGCAACGGGCAGCGCTCTCCAAGGATTTGCCTTCAGCTACTGGGTTTAGTAGGGTTTAGGGATTAAGGATTAGGGTTTAGG